ATATATATATATATATATATATATATATCTGTTAGGTCAGTGAGATTTTCCATGGTTGCACCACCACCCACATTTTGGAGTTTTGTGGAACCTGTCCCTTTTTCTGCAGGAATACTGTCTCCACTTTTTAATGTAAAAACTAAAAAGTGAGTACAGTGCTTATAGGTTATCATATACCATAATGATCTACATCCTAATGCATTTATTCCCATAATGCTATTGTTGGTGGGTACTAATGATTTGTAGATTTACGGCCTGTTTGGATGACAATTAGTTTTTCAAGGAGTAGATTATCTCATCTGAAACTAATATACTCTACCTAGTAAATATTTTGTTACAGGGGTGTATACCTTGCATTGTATATAATGTTATTTAAATATTGGAAAATTATATGATGAGACCAATTACTTTGATGCAAGGTGATCACAATTAGTCTTAACCGTTGGATATGAAATTGGGTGGTTGTATTTATTTCATTGACCAAGTTCAAAGTTCAAAAGAAATTTTTTCGAACTTTGTGACATACCTAAGCTATCAAATTTCATATCGGATGGTTGTAAGTAATTGATGTCATTTATATACCAAAGATAAATAGTCTCATTGTATACAATCCCTTAAATATTTAGCCTTTTCATCATTTTTCAATTATTTTTTGTTGTTTCTTTCTAAAAGCAGTGATTTTCAGCAAGTTACTTTGAATAAAACAGAAATAAATTTCCAAAAAGATAAAACACATATGTGAAACTGCCTGTAAGTTTATTTTGGATAATTTTGAGTGACACTATCAAATAATAGATAATTCATTGTCAAAATTAATTTTACTAAAATAGTGATTTATCATTAATGAGTAAATCTGATTTATCCTTCAGATGTATAATCTATTACCAGTAGGTACTTTATTTGTTAATCTTAGAACTCGTACATGCCATGACCGAAGCTTATCTAGAGATGCTGTGGATGCCATTTATTTGACGTTGTGGCAGGAAATATTTTTGGCGGCATATCCCATAACGGTACATGAAATCAAGCCCTCACTTTCTCTCACTCGCATCTACCTCTTGCACCAGGTCAGTCATACTATGGTGGCATCTTTTCTTTCACATCATCTTCCCGCACACGCACACGCACACGTACACGCCTCTCCCCCTCTCTCTCACACACCCACACACACACCTCCCCCATCTCCTTCCCTCTCTCACACACAAATGCACACACCTTCCCCATCTCTCTCTCTCACACACACTCTCACCTCTCATCTCTCCCGCTCTCACATGCAAAAGCACGCACGTTCCCTGTCTGTCTCTCTCACACACACACACCACACCCACACTCACCTGTCACCTCTCCCTCTCTCACATGCAAACACACGTGTTGCCATCTCTCTCTCTCTTATGTGCCAACACACTTCTTGTGTCCCTCTCTCTCTCACAGACATGTACAAACACACTCCACCCTCTTTTTTCTCACACATGCACATCTAAACACACCTCCCCTCTTCTCTCTCCCTTCCTCACCCCCTTCTCTTCCCCTCTGTGTCACTCCCTCTCCCCCCATCTCTCTCTCACCACTTTCCTTTTTATCTCGCTCCCTCCATTTTCTCTCTCTCTCTCTCATACACCCCTCTCTTGTCCACACACGAGTACAAACCCCTCCCCCTCTTTCTCTCTCTCTCTCTCTCTCTCTCAACCCCTTTTAGCCGGCATGGTAGTTGAAATGACAATTAACATCTGTAGGATTCCTAATCCTTTGTCCGATTATCCAAGAATTTCTCCCAAAAAAGTGGATTGCGTTTCTTTACTCGGATCATGAGGAATTGATGTCTTTCTTTCCCTTTGAATGGTCGAAGATGACACCAAATCATATGTGGGAACCACAATATCTTGGACTAATGACCAAGTCTAGTTAGTCCAAGTCTTAGCCATCCATGAATCATTACCCTAATTTAGTAAAGTTCATTTCATCATATGGAAAAATTATTGCATAAAGTCTCAGTCAAAATATATGGTGGCTTTTGTCCTACTTTTAATGGTAAATTTGTTGTTTGATTAATTCAAAGTTTCAGTAAAAGAATAAAAAATAAATAAATTCAAGAGATGACCTTAAAAAAAAAAAATAGTAAATAAATTTGAGTGATAATTTTTTTTTTCAAGATTTGGACTACGCTCCACACATGTGGTCCATAATTTATCCTAAAGATTCGAATTCATTGGCTCCTAGTGATTCTCAAACATAATTTTCTCCCTTTGAATATTAATGGTGCAAAAGTTCCTAGGATCCTTCTCATCAAGGATGAAGAATGTAACATATTTGATCTGTAAGTACAAGATTAAGATAACCCCACAAATTTGTTGTAGAGATCATCATCAGTTGTTTTCACAATCAGTAAGACAAGAGAAGAGGATAAATTACCAAATCCATCTTTCTTTTCCTAAAGATTCACCAAAACATTCGTAAAAAAAGTATTGGAAAACATCATCTCAAAATTATATTTATTAAAATAGTCTCCATTATTAAAATTATGGTAATCCAACAATAAACAAGGACCACCTAACACGGTTGTGATCTTCCTCTTTCGATTGTTAACTTGGTTATTTTGGTAGTTATATCTTAGTCAAGCACCACTTATAGAGCTATAGCGGTTTTGGTAACCTACCAAATGAGAGAGAGAGAGAGAGAGAGAGAGAGAGAGAGAG